TAATCACAGAGAAATATCCATTTATACATCGGCTACTATGTCAGAACTCGAAAGGGAGAAATCAGCGTTTTTCTATTTTCCACCGCTGGGTGCGCCCAAGGCGCGTGGACAATGAAAACGCTGTAAAAGCTTACACGCACTGGTATATTGCGAAATGAGTGTGTACAGAGGTGGCCTCTAGTGTAAGCGAGCGTATAAAAACGAAAACGAAAAATCGATAAAATTTCATGCGCAACGTGCTGAGTATCCTTAACAATATACACCCGCCAATTTTGACAATCGGCCCGCCAGAATGCGCTTAAATCACAGAAATTTCTCAAATATACATGCTAAATGATCCTTAGCCTGCTACGTACGCGTGAAGAAGGCGGCTGGCTGAACCGTTGGCGGCTGCGCATACCATGAATCACCCGCGATGTCAACAAGCGTAGTTTCGCAGCCTGTCCGCGCATTAAACTTGCTGCAGCCAATCAGCGCCATCAACCCCCTCCCACGCCCACCCCCCCTCATTCGCTTCGCTCCCTCGCATCTCACTCTCACCTATCACCCATTGTTGGCAGCCCTGTGATTAGTCTTATGCGATAAACCCAATTACAAAAACGTACAATCTTAGATGAGAGTTAGAGTTCTGAGTTGTCTAACTATGTTAGACATATCTATCATGACATATCTTCAGAAGCTTACACAAATACTATAAAACGTTTTGCTAATAGTAATACATACAAAAGTTTTACTTTATTCACAGGCTCAGGAAAGTGGGAAATTGTTGCTGTTGATGGTACTAGTAAGCCTCCACCAAGGACGGCATGTGCAATTGCTGCAGTTGGGAAGAAACTGTACGTGTTTGGGGGAATGAACCATTTCAAAGGCTGGCTAAATGATTTGCATGTTTTCGATATAGGTAAGAACTAGAATGATGCTATATATATTGCATGACAAATAATATATATTTGTATTTAGCAATTGTGGCACATTGCCAAATTCATTGTTATTCCACAAATTCTTATTATTATATTATTGTTATTATTATTCTCTTTCTGCAACTTTCTTTGGCATGCATCTCCTCTTTAACTATAGTACCTACCGGTCTGTAATTTTGCAGAAGGCAGCATTAAAATTAAAGGAACCGAATAATATACTGTAATAAAGGATAACTGAAACAATGCCTGTGCATTGTTGCATATTTCAGCCTGTACAGTGTGACTGTACAGTGCTGCCACCTATCGATCTATAACCATCGCCTGCTACTAGCAAGCATAACTGCGTTGCTCTCTGACTTTCTCTCCCGCTCGCTCTCCCTGCCTCTCATACACGTTCCGTATAAAAACTTACCTTACTTAAAATGCAAATATATTGCTCCATATACAGAGCTAAATGTTACATTCGTGATTCATACCTAGAAACAACAGTGGCCCGGATCCGCGTTTGCACGCAGAATTTGCTACAGAATATATAAACTACTTATAATTAGTAATTTATAATATAGCTGAGATTAAGTTTTAGGACTGCTAGTACGTAGTACATGTATTGCCAAATACAGTGTTTGCTCTTGCAGCGAAGACAACCCTTTAGTTATTCATTGTTATTTCACATTTTGTCATTAAACGTTGGTATATTTATATGACCATTCAATTGCTAATATATTTATTCTTCCAGAGTGCTGTTTATGTCACAGCATATGTCTTTTATGTTTTTTTATCATCAGATGGTGTCACATAATACGGTGCGCATTGCAATATATTATTATTACTTAGCAATCTTAGCACTTGATGGTGGCACAAGACCGTAATTTTTCATAACTAACAATTCACTTAAATAATGGTGATGTTTCATGAGTGGGAATTCTGTGTGGAGCTGGAAGCAAAGGTTTAGGCGTTAATATAGCGTAGTATTAATATAATTATATTTTACACAGAAACCAGCGAATGGAAACAGATAATTGCTGGCGGAGAAAGACCATCTGCAAGGGATAAAGTTACAGCAGCCACTATCGGCAACAAAATTTACTTTTTTGGTGGCTTTGGTCCAAAAAGATCTGTTTTACCATCATCATCACTTGGAAGTGCTAACAATGGTGATGATGATGATGGTTTCGAAGATGTTGACAATGAGGAGGACGAGAGCGAGGGACCGATGGCAGAATTTGGCTGGTTTAATGACCTTGTAACATTCGACACAGGTATACATAATACATGAGTTTGCCAGAAGTTCTTACGTCTGCACCTGCAGAATTCACTTGCAAATCATGAGGGTTGTGTTCGTGTTTGAGTGCGTGTGTGCGTGATGCTAGTGAGTTTTTCAAATGTATTAGTTTTCATTATATAATGTTTTCATTGACAGAAAAGAGTCAATGGGAGGCCGTGCATTGCAGTAATGATGGCATGCCAACACCAAGAGCAGGACATTCCATGTGTGCAATAGCAAACTTATTGGTTATATTTGGAGGGAGAGACCCACTTGCTAGGAGGAATGACATTCACATACTAGATACAGGTTCGTAACAACCAGTACATCAAATTACTTTTGATTGAAGCACAGGAGGTCAGTATTACATAAGAAAACCTTTGCAAGTGGGAACAAAATCAGTGCTGTGGCTAGAGCAAAAGTATTTGTACATATTGTAGGATAAAATTTAAATTACAAAATAATTTGATCGACATGTATCTTCAACTGTTCAATGTGAACCTTTGGCGTGTCAATGTAATGGTGACTCTCTAGTTCATCGCCAATTTATAGCTCTATTGCATCGAGCAACCAGCTCTTCGAAGCCACCGTAAGATATGGCCAAGGCTTCCACTACATACATTTCTAACATGTTTCTAAACTTTTAGATACCATGAGTTGGGTTGTGCCGGTTCATCCTATGGGAAGGTTGCCTGCTCCCCGGTCTTTCCACACCGGTACTGCTGTTGGTCGTCGCATGGTTGTCTTGGGCGGACGCAGCACCGATAACCAACACTACAATGACCTCCACATTTTTGACATCGGTTTGTGCAGATCATTTATTCAGCAAAGAAGTGTTCCACTAAATTCCTCACACCACCTTGCTACTATGCTGTCTTACCTCACACTACCTTGCTAATCATACTATACTCTGTAGTAATTTTTATAGTAACAGCCTGTTATTCAGATGCAGGGACTTAGCCAGGAAATAAGATCGGGGAGTCTCACCATCTGAGCAAAGTGAGGATGTTGCGGGCACGAAGCACCCTAGGGTGGAGGGCCTTACCTTAAAATGGAGGAAATTTAGTCTGAAATGCCAAAAAGACAGGAATCTGATATGATTTTATATTCTTATAAGCACTGTTGTCAGTTATACAAGGTGTATAATATATAAAATTGGGCCGCTCTCATGCCGTCTCTATCAAATTTCATCCGTCTCATCCAAGAATAGACCGTCCAAAAGACTGGTAGACGGGTCTCTGGCTAACACACTGTTCAGATGCTTTGTTGGTCTATCAATTATGATTTGGTGTAGATCGTCTATTCACTCTATTGTAATCAAGAGCCAGCCCTAGTCAATTGTTGTTGCAATTGGACGTTCTAAATGCAATGGTTAATAATAAAGTAATGCAAAGACAAAATGTTGGTGACCGTGGCGCGTATGAAAAATATGTATGGACTGCTCTAGCTTGACTGACTTATCAACAATATTCTAGGCCAATATTCTCAATCAAATGGGCGTCTTTATACCGCCAGAAGTGCATAATTTTTCTCTAATATCATGCAACTCTGATACCATGGCTTTTTTTATAATATGAAGATGTATATTACAACAGCAACCATGTATTCCTTTTTTGAATGAGCTCGTTGAAATCTGGTATGTGTGCATAGTAGTTTTTAAATAAAAGAGGTTCATGTATTTTTTTCAGACACCCGGCAGTGGCTGCAGCCCACAGTTAGTGGCACAGTTCCAGTACCTCGTGGTATGCACACTGCTACTGCATGTGGAGAGTATTTAGTTGTATTTGGTGGGGCTTCAGACTTGGACCATGAATCACAGCAATGCATGACGTACCACAGTGAGACATTTCTGATAAACACTGGTAAGAACAGTACGTATGTACTTCACTCGGTTTGGCAGGCCACCTAAAGAATTGGGGAAAAATTGGTGCATTCATTTTCAGAAAACCCTTTTTAATTGTATATTTACGATACCTATATAGCTATATATTATGATATTTGCTTACGTGGATCCAATTCTACGAGGTTGATAAATATAATAGTGTTTCCTCTGGCCAAAAAGGTCTGTGAGGTAGTAAATTATTTTTCTTGTGTTTGTGCGTTTCGAGCTCCTAGCAAAGCAAGCAGCTGGTGCATTATACAAGCATCGGTGCTCGCCCAGCAAGGGGGATCGGGTGGCTTGCCCTCCAGAAAATCTTTGAAAAAAAGGGTGCAATTTGGTGCATTATAAGCACTTGTTCTATGGGAGAACCGATTTTCGTCAGCGAGGCAGTGTTTTGGACAAATATCTGTGTGGCGGCTGAGAATTTGAGCGAGGCGTGCCACTTCGCTTGTGTCAATGCAGGGTAAACATATATATATATATGTATGTATGTATGTATATATGAAATAGACAAAAGGGCATAATTTCACAAGAAAATTTCTAATTTTGATGTCTAGAATGCAAAAATGTTATCAGATCCGGTCCCCCGGATGCCTGCGGACCCCTCTTTGCCCATTTCTAGGTTTTTATAACGAATTTTCATATATATAAGTAAATCTTTATCAGAAAAACTAGCGCTAAACAAGATTTTTTTATGGAGACAATATAAGAGAAGTGTGTGTGTGCGTGCGTGTGTGTATGCTTTTTTTCCTTTTTGTTGGTAAAAAGGGGGGGTCCGGACCCCCTCGACCCCCCCTCTGGATCCGCCCCTGATATATATATATATAACCATGATTGCACACCAGCTCAAGATGGACGCAGCCATACGCAGAGACGCACACAAACTCAAGTTTTCGTGATTGCACCACCCTTCAACAGGTCACCTGGAAATGAATAACAATTTGACCATTAGGCATTTTAGTGCTCAGATGCTCTCAGAATGCACCAATTTAAAACAAAATCTTTGGGGAGGTCCCCCAAACCCCCCTAAGTGGCCTTCGGCAGCTTTTTAAAACACCAGAAAAGGTAAGCAGGAAAAAGTGCCCTTTATTTCGTCCTGGACACCCTCTTTTCAAAAATCTGGATCCGCCCCTGTATATATATATATATATATATATATATATATATATATAT